CTATACATTGGTGTGGAGTTTGCTTGAAATGGCCTTATGGTTTTCTTATAAATTGACTTGAAAAATGGGGGGTCGGTTAACCTTCTCTCTCCCGACCGCGTCACACAGGAGAAACTTAGGTTTTCAACCTTTTAGAGACAACTCGGGGACGACACGGTAACCCACGTCGACCCTTCGCCGCTCCACCCGAGTGCGCCAGCTGTAAATTCCGCTGTCCCCTATGACAGGATAGGTTCTCGTGGGGCACAACTTACCTTCCCTAAGGGGCTGTCACCACTCTTAGGGGCGTATCCCCGTCGAGCTACCAACCCACATGCGAAGGCTTTTATAATACAATTGCAGAGGTAGGCCGACCGAGGGCGTTTGCTCGTTCATTGTAGCATAGGTACGCATGGTTAAACGCCAAGTGGACCCAAACGTCGCCCGTCCCTGCGGTGCTGATCTTTCAGGAATCGCAACGACGTCGGTCGACTAGGATGTGATAACACAGGCGTAAATAGACCTTCAAGCAATCCTAGTCCTTTCTTTCAAAGAGAAACACGAGTCACTCATACGAAACATAATTTGACCTATCTTCTGAAATCAACCTATATATAATACATTTGTGCATACGACAAAGCTTGACTTAACTTCAAACAACACTTATCAACAAAAACACTGACAAATCCCAACTCTAAAGTAGAGCTAGGATTTCATTGCTTTAGTGATGACTTTACTACCTTTCTATGTGTGGTGTGAATGCCATCTGCAAGTAAGCCGACGATCACTATATAAGTCAGCGACCGACTTCAACAACTGACATATTGATCATTTCGCTGAAGACGGGGTCCACCTTCAAAGTTTGTTATTTGCCTTATCCGTCTGGGCAATAATCACTCTTTTTGTTCCTCGAATGATAAAGTACCCACCTTCGACATAAGGACTTTCAAAGCAATGCTCTTGCCGCTACCTCTTGTCATTTGGCCTGATTGTCCTACGCCTGCACTTCTTATGGTGCAGACCTATCCGCGAAGGTAGTGCCTACATG